AGCAAGAAGCTACTAGGAACAAAGGGCATCGCTACTAGGAGCAAGAATGCTGCTAGGGGCTCCTGGCCTTACTGCTAGGAGCAAGGACGCTACTAGGGGCTCCGGGCCTTACTACTAGGAGCAAGGACGTTACTAGGGGCTCCTGGCCTTACTACTAGGAGCAAGAACGCTACTAGGGGCTGCTGGCCTTACTACGAGGAGCAAGAACGCTACAAGTGAAATGAGCAGGCCTTCCACCATCTTTAGGACACATAATGTTTCCAGTGTTCTTCGGTGATACCAAACGGACTGGACCTCCCTGCAACAGACGAAGCCATCTCTAAGTCTCGACCCCGCAAACAACTGCTTCTGCAGTTCTTGGTGCTTACCGACCCCTCCCACACCGTCGCGTCCCTCCCGTCGCGGTCGAGTCCATCTCAGATGAAATCGCCATCCGCATGGGCATCCTGGAGCCGCCGTAGGAAGCGGCCTCCCACCGAGCGAAGAAAAGGCGTCCAAGTGGGAAGGTGCTTCGAGGGCCCTCGTGGAGGGTTGAGGGTGTGTCCTTCGGTGTTTTCGAGGGTCAAGTGGTTCCGTGGAGGTTGGACTTTTTGTTGAGAGGTTTTCTTTCTTGCGTTTGTTCGTTTTTTTGTCTGGAGCCAGATCACTGAGATCCTTGCATACTACGTATAGATTGTTATACGGTACTGCACCCGATTTTGTGACAGCAACTAGTTCCATTGGCAATCTTTTGGTCTGAAGGGCTGGGCGACATTTGACACCTGCCGGAAGAAGTCTCTCGAGTAGGTTGGAGGCCGTGTCGCGAGTCGCTAGTACTCGTAGGTTGGAGGCCATCGCTACTAGGTTGGAGGCCATCGCTTTTAGAAACAAAGGAAAAGAAAAGGAAGAACCGTCTAATATAATTTGCTCTTAGGTTGGAGGCCATCACTCCATGGCTCATTGTGGCTCGAGTGGGAAGCGGTGTGCTCCCTGATCAGGCAGCTGAAGTTTTGGCGGGTGGAACGAGTTTGGTGAGTGTGATCCGGATGCGCAGCCTTCTTGGGATTTGGTGTGGCTTCTCTGAACTTTCCTTCAGTGGAGATGGTGATTGAACATCAGATCACTCCTGACAACCCCAAATCTCGAGACTTTCCGGGGTGGTTGCCCAGTAATTGAGCGCACAAACAGCCCCGAGAACGAGCGAGACTGGTGTATGTAGCCTCTGCCTTTGACTCATTGAGTGGGCCACCTTGTTAAAATGTTCTTCACACCGTTGGCTTTTGCATCTCTCAAAGGAAGACGTCACGAATGTGCACAATTCCGGTATATCCAAGAGCAACGAGAGAGGCTTCTCCTGCCCATTCGTACCTCTCTACCCGGGACTCTACCTGTCGCAAGTAGGTGGGTGAAGCACGCCGCCGCGCCGCCTGATGTGAAGCACAGCAATAGAAGCCGGACATGCATGTTTGAGCAGTGTCGGCTATTTTCCAGGGCATGACACTTGGAATTTCCCGTTCCGCTCCTTCTCTGCGCTTACTTAGGGCCATAGACAATCAGGTTGGGTGCAGTTTCTGAGCAGATTCATTGGCCTGGCGACGCCCTTCCACCAGGTCTGAACGAAGTGGGCGACGCCAGCGCCCAGCGACGCCCGACTTGGGCGTTCCCGAGGCGTGAAGGACGGGTCATGCGGTCTGTGCGGATTGGGAGAAGGTAGGAAGTAAGAATGCTCCGTTCGTAACGATGCCAGGAGCCCCATTCGTAGCGTCCGATCGCTCCTAGTAGTAAGGCCAGGAGCCCCGTTCGTAGCTTCTGGTTCCTAGAGTCCCCAAAAGCCTCCCAACGTACCAAAAAACAAGGAAATACGAGGGAGAAGCATTTTTCTGATCGACCGCCAGCATCGGAGAGCCCGACCAACCAAGGGTGTTTGCTTTGACGGAAGGGTTCAACAGTCGAACTCCTTCCAGTTTTGAAAAAAAGGCCCTGGACGGGGGCATAGGAAACATACAGTTTTGGAGCCTCAGATTTAGTGCAGTGAAAAGGTTTAGAGTCTTTTTGTGGTTGGTTTTCCGAGTCGGGTGGCCATGTATGAACAGAAGTGTTCACACAATCTTAGTGCCTGTCGAGGGTGAAAAGGTGTGGAAATATGGTGCCCTTGAGATCCTTGGGGTCCCTTCTGCAGTCCCTGTGGGCATTTTCTTGTGTCTTTGAAAGGGGATGCTTGCAGGACATCGTTAGAAAAGAACTCCGGAGTTGAACCAATGGCTGTAGCAGCATGGGCTTCTGCGTTGGGACCGTCCAATTTTTGGGATATTTCTACCTTGCCTTCGGCATCACTGCGGTGTCTGACCAAGTCTGCAACGCCCTTCGCGCAACTTTGCAGCAACAATTTGGGAAAAGGTTGTGAAGTCGGCAGCGGCAGCAAGCCCAAGGAAGTCGACAGCAATGAAGGCACGAACGGAGCATTCCTCAACTGGCAAAGTCAATCCTTGTTTTCAGCGACAAGACCCATTTTTGCAGAATAGCTTGGGTTTATCCTAATCACTCGGTCCAGTCGGTCAACGGTTCTTACTATCACAGTACCAGTAACAGTATCAGTACGCAAAAAAACATCGATAGCTACTTCTGAATGGTGAGGTCATCCTCAGTGCACCCCACATGTTTGGACCATCCAGCCCTGTTGCCGCCCCACGGAAACGCGGTTTGCGGACCAATGGCGGACCCGCTGCCGCCTCTGCTGACGTACTGTGAGGGTGGCGACCTAGAGGCGGCCAAGGCGGAGTTGCAGGCGACAACTGCAGGGTGCACAGTTCCTGTTGACGACCGTAGGGCTCCAAAGCCATTTGTTTGGATTCGCGGTTGGAACATGTTTGAACTGTTTTTGGTCTCCAACATCACCTGATCTCACCAGTGAAATTGGCCGGGAACCGGTGTGGTGACAGCTAAATTACGAACCTCAATGAGGTATGTAAGCCACAGCTCTGTTTGGAGGAGCCCATGGTCCTTCATGAAGTCATGTTGCTGCCAGAATAAAACCTTCTCCAAGTATATACCTGAAGCCTCTCTCGCATCACTTAGAACTCGATTTAGTCACGAAACTCTCCTGGCAAGTCTTTCCAGAGCCCCTCAGAAGCTAATGTTTCGCCCTCTTTCAGGTTTGGCTTCCTTGCAGATATACAAGATGGAGAAAGGTTGAGGTTCACGTTTAGACACTGATGGGACCGTTTTGTAGAAGCAACATGAAGCAACTACAGGAGAATCAGATCAACGTCCTGTACATGAAGGGACACCTAGGATCCTTCTGTGGTTGTCCTTCACACCTATCTGTCGTCTCCTCTTCCACACCGTCGGCTCGCCGAGGCAGGCGATGTGAAGAAGCTGCTCAAATTGAGAGATCCGGACCGCAGGCAGCTGGGAGATGGGAGATCCGGGGTGCGCTGCTGGGCAGCGCGGGGGACAACCCCCGAAGGGCCACTGTGCAGCGCAGGGGAGTTTGACATGTTTCTTCTTTTTTGCTTTGCTCCTAGTAGCGTCTTTGCTCCTAGTAGTAAGGCCAGGAGCCCCCAGTAGCGTCCTTGCCCCTAGTAGTAAGGCCAGGAGCCCCTAGTAGCGTCTTTGCTCCTAGTAGTAAGGCCAGGAGCCCCTAGTAGTGTCCTTGCCCCAGTAGTAAGGCCAGGAGCCCCTAGTAGCGTCCTTGCCCCTAGTAGTAAGGCCAGGAGCCCCTAGTAGCGTCCTTGCCCCTAGTAGTAAGGCCAGGAGCCTCTAGTAGCGTCCTTGCTCCTAGTAGCGATGCCAGGAGCCCCTAGTAGCGTCCTTGCTCCTAGTAGCGATGCCCTTTGCTCCTAGTAGCGTCCTTGCTCCTAGTAGTAAGGCCAGGAGCACCTAGTAGTGTCCTTGCTCCTAGTAGCGATGCCCTTTGCTCCTAGTAGTGTCCTTGCTCCTAGTAGTAAGCAAAAGGAACCTTTCTCCATTTAGATGTGCTTTGATTGGAGAGGACAAAGGGTCGCCGAAACCATGTGAACCGCAGCCGAGTGGGATGCTAACTTGGCTGGTCGTTGAGGGCGTTTTTGATTCAGAGGGACATCGGGGAGGGAGCCCAAATTTGTGACGCCATGAACCAGCTAAAAACCGTTCGAGGGATGGTGAAAATGACAGCAAATTACATGAGGCTTCACTCATCCCAAAGATCTCTCTTGCAGCCATTTCGAGCCCATCTACATATTGGAAGATGTTGACCTGGGCGCAAGCGAGTTAGTAGCTTCTTCAGGTTTCGGACCCACCTTTTGCACCCTTCTCTTCTCCCGTCACTTTGGGGTGTGATGGGAAAGTGCCGGAACTGTTCCGGATGTGATTGCTGAAGACGTCGGAGCCAGGACCCCCTTGCACAGAGCCTGTGCGGCAGGACACGAGGAGCGATGTTCAAGGGGTTGACCATCAGATTTCCCCGTGTCTCGGATTCATCGGACGGTTGACATCTAAGACCAGGAAAGATCAAAAGGCCATTGCCTTTCGTCGTCGTTTTTCCGCCGTGCCTTTCATCCACTTAATGGTGGAAGTTTCTTGCGAACGAGCACCTCGACCGTGAGGAGTTGGCGGTCTTTCTCATTGCTCAAGGGGCCAATGTGAACGTGGAGGACCACCTGGAGGTGGAGGGCAGTGTTATTTTTCGGCAAGTCTTTGGGGAGGAAAACGCCACAAGGTTCATGGTTTTATCCAGTCCTGAAGGTTTGGATCTGCACTCTTTCCAAACTCGGAAAGAACACGAGGGCCGAAATCCCACGACTCGATGAATCCCAAACAGCCCTCCAAGATGCGCCTTCTTAGGCCGAACTTGCTTGTTTAAGTGTTTGCAAACACCACCCGTTTGGGGGTTTTGGTGGTCAAGTTGGGTGATCTTTGGCCTTGTGATGCCTTGTGTTTTCAGTTTCACCTTTCAGGACGAAGAGTCTTGGACCCCTCTGCACAGCTGCGCCTCCCGCGGCGCGGGCGCGCTGGTGGCGAAGCTGCTTGAGGCCTCCGCGGATGCGGAAGCGCAGACCTCGAGCGGCGGCGCAGCGCTGCACTTCGCGGCGTCGAAGGGGCACGAGGAGGCAGGTGTGGTGTGGTGGGGTGGTCAAGCTCGGGGCCACGAGGTGTTTCTGAGGGAATTTGCATATAAAACTGTACATACAGAGATAGAACAAATAGATGCATAGATAGAAAGAAGGAACAAACACACATAATAAAGGCATAGGTATCAAAAAAAAATAAAAAGAGCATCAAAAAAAAATAAAAACAGGATCAAAAAAAATAAACAGCGAATCAACAAATAAATATTCCTTGATAGGCCTCTTCTGCTGCTCTCTTGGCCTTGTGGTCTGCGGGTCCTCTGGTAATGTGGTCCCTTGGTCCTTTGGTCCCTTGGTCCTCTGGTCCACTGGTCCTTTGGTCCCCTGGTCCCTTGGTCCTTCAGTCCACTGGTCCCCTAGTCCTCCGGTCTCCTGGTCCTCTGGTCCTGTGGTCCGCCGGTCCCCTGGTATCCTAGTCCTTCTGTCTCCTGGTCCGCTGGTCTTTTGCTCTCCTACGGCGCTCGTCTGTCGATCTCCTGGTCCCCTGCTTGCGCAAATAGAGGCTTGATTGCTTTCTACTAGAGGCGCTCCCTGGGAAGAAAGTAGGTACCCAACGATGAGGTTGCCGTCCAGTCATTGAGTAGCCCTACTCGAAAAATGGTTCACCAGTAGAAATAGCTCCCTACTAGGAGGGGCAGTGGGCTAGAATATTTTTTTTGATTCCCTTTTTATTTTTTATTGATCCCCGTTGAATATTTTTTTGTTGATTCTTTTTTATTTATATTTTTGATCCCTTACCCCATAATAAAACATAAATAGGTAAACTGTAGACATATCATACTCGCAATACATATGTGTCAACCTGTAACTGTTGCAGATTTTTGCACCAACAGAAACGGACCAGACAGTGTTTTTTTCAGTCTTGCAGAGGTGCGTGCTTCAAGCTGTGAGGTTCAAACCTAGAATGCTTATCTGGCACTCACTATATTGCCCCAAACCATGTCCTGCTGCAGTGCCAGTACGTTGACACCCTTGGCTCAGTATGCACGATCAATGAGGACGACGCAGCTGGATGATGATGATAATTTTGATGTGATTCCCAAGAACTTCCCCATGTACACTGTGCCTTTGGGGACATTGCTGGACATGACCCAGATAGAGCCCCACGAAGATCTCAAGGCCAGAGCTGCCCTGGTTGAGTTCCAAAGGAACATGGGCAGAGCAGCATTCGTTTCACACCAGTGGGTCACCACTGACCACCCCGATCCAGAGTGCAAGCAGATGAGGATCTTGCAGGATGCCCTGAAGGGCATGATGTATGGCAAACTGCACCGTATACCACTGGACTTTCTTTCAGAAGTGATGGACTCGCATGCCAAGGCTTTACCAGCATCCGCCCTTTTGTCAGAGCCATTGTTCTTCTGGTATGATTATTTTTCTTGCCCGCAGAAAGAACGGTTGAGTCAGATCGAATCTGATGAAAGATATGACAGAAGCAATCTTTCGAAAGCAATCAGCAGCATACCGGCATATGTGGACAAGTGCTCCTTTTTTCTTTGCGCTTGTGCCGGCTATGGAGACCCCCAACAGAGATTTCATCAACATGCGAAGTTGGCAGGCTCGGGGTTGGTGCCGTCTCGAAAGAACATGCCGAGAGTTCTCTCTCGGAGATACATCTTGGATCATCGTAAGAAGCCCCACGGACCTCGAGATCGCAGCAGGTAAAAACTGGGCCGCACGCGTTGGATCTGGACCAGTGGGCGAAGGTTCCTTCACCGTTGCCAGCGATCGCTTGCAGCTCCGACCAGTTTTGATGGCAGTCATAAGGCGAAAGATCCTTAGCCTCTTGAAGGCCCAGGATTGGGCAAGTTATCGTTCTGTGTTGAACCAACAAGCCATGTTGCTCCGAGGATTGGATTCAGTTGAGTGCTTTGTCCCCGTTGAGCTCTTCTCTCCGTCGGTGGTTTCAGAGTTCTTACACCAGAACGGCTTCCGAAGTGTGGGTGAGACTGACAGGGCAAGTTGGTCGCCTATTCACTATGCTGCCTTAAATGGGGATCCATTACTGATTCAAGAGTTGTTGACCCTGCGGGCAGATCCGAACAAAAGCACTAAAAAGGGTCACCCAGACCTGGGATTTGAATCTGGAATTACGGCTCTTTGTGTATGTTGCTTTTGGAAGAACAACGAGGCAGCCCAGCTTCTCATCTCGGCAAGGGCTAAAGTTACTTGCGGAGCGATGGCTGCCCAACCTCTCCTTTGTGCAGCAATGGGAAACAATGTAGAAGGAATCAAGATCCTTTGCAGTGCTGGTTGCAGCCCGTTGCAGCGCAATGCGTTTGGAGTCAGCGCCTTGCAAGTTGCTAACGATGCCGGAGCCTTGGAAGCCATTGACGAGCTCTTCGGACAGGGGATTGGAGGGTTGAATCCCACGGAAGCCTTTGTGGCCTCAGGAGGAGCAAGTGCTGAGACTGTGCATCGTCTGGTTGAAATGGGAGCTGACATCAACGATCAGACTTTTTATTGGAAGCTCATTAAGTCTAGCGCTCTGACTCGAACACTTCGCATGGTCATGATTTTGCAACACCTATGTGGAAAAGTCACGCAGGCCAGCAAGATCTACTACCACTCAATTGGCACAACCCCTTTGATGATGGCGCTGTTGCAAGGAAACCATGAAGCCGCCGCGGCTTTGATAGCTGCTGGAGCACAGCTCAATCTGCGGAATTCACGAGGATGGACTGCAGCAGACTTTGCAAGAGAGATGTCTGTGCCGGAGTTTTTACAAGAGGCTTTTGAAGGAAGAGTGGACGCATGCGTTCGAGTGTCATTGTTGGCACGTGGTTGGGTGGAAAAGCAATTGTAACTCATTTTAATGCAAGTGCGGTGAAATTGTAACGTCACAAAATGGACATAGTTGCGAACGCGAGCACAAATTCGGGGAGGAGCGGAGAGGGGGCGCTGTGATTCTTCTACATGCTACACTGCCCATTTACAAGGTGCTGAATGAATTCAAGTGACCAGAGATGTGAATTTCGACGGACAATAGAGGGATTTCTAGCTGTTTTGACCCGCCCTTATGTAGACCCCTAGCCCTGTGGCTTGGAAGGGATTTACTACTCGTATAGTAAGTAATTACTTAAAAGTTAAAACCATTTAGCAGGGGACCCACGGACAGTCAAGGTCAATCAGGAGGATGTCTGATGGTTGACACTTCACCAACTTGAATGGAGTGCCGGTAGCGTCCTTGCTCCTAGTAGCGTCAATGCTCCTAGTAGCGATGCCAGGAGCCCCTAGTAGCTTCTTGCTCCTAGTAGTAAGGCCAGGAGCCCCCAGTAGCTTCTTGTTACTAGTAGCAAGAATGCTCCTAGTAGCGATGCCAGGAGCCCCTAGTAGCGTCCTTGCTCCTAGTAGTAAGGCCAGGAGTGCCTTTATGCTCGGTTGGACCTGGACCAGGAGAATGATTGGCCCAGTGCGGAGAAGCGATACGTGGACAAACACAAAGCTGATCAATCCAACATAGTGATCTTTAGGATCGCGCTTGTCCACCCGTGTCTTCACACTCCGACCGAGGGAGATGGAAGTGGAGCATCCCCTATTTGTACGGGACCACATCCCCATGCATATCCATCTTCGCGACGGTCGATGAAACTCGGCCAGTGCCGTGCGAGGTCTTGAAGCAGCTCGTTGCTGCAGGTGGGAAACGTGGGAACCCGGGCTTTCGAAGCTGAGGGGCAAGGGCTATAACGGCTATCCCCAGAGCTTCAAGTTGACCCGGCAGTGTAGAGAGGATGAACTAAGAATCCCTGTTTCTTCCTGATTAGCGAGGAGAGTGGGGCTTGAAAATGGCAGCTCCTTGGAGTCTCCAGGACTGCAGGACCGAGTCTTGAGAAGCTCAGCATGGCGGCTTCACTACCTCCCATTTCGGTTGGTTTGACCTCACAGGCATCTCTGGCCATCACATGTGGCAGTTCGACCATGCTGTTTCTCCTACGGACCTCACCATCCTGCGCTCATTTTGGAAAGATGTCTCTGAAGGAGATCTTAATTTAACTCGGAGGAGTTTCACCAGGTCTTTCTAGGACGGTTGAGCTCGGAGGAGGGGTTGCAAGGATTCGAACGCTTTCATCCGGGATTCGATCGTGTGCAGGTGCAGATATCAACTGCAAAGATCGAAACAAAGGACAGCTCGGAAGGGGGCGCGGTTGGCGAAGCCCTGCGAGTCAGGGTCATGTGTCCCATGCTTGGTCAATCTCCGCGAAAAGGTCCAGAGATCGGGAGATGTTTCTTCAACGGCGTTTCTCTTGGGTCCAGACCGCCCTGCAGGTTCGGCCTAGCCCGTTGAACATGGCATACAATACATATAAAGCGCTTCCTTGGTGTTGCCGGTCGATCACTGAGTTTCCGGACAAGGATACACAGGCATCAGCTTGCGGACACTCCGTCGGGAGGAACTCCTCTTTTGCGCGCAGCGGGCGCTGGGAAGTTTGCAGCTCTGAAGATCTTGCAGCTGGGCTTATGGGCAGATGCGTTTTTCGGGAACTTGGACCCAGAGGAGCGATCGGACGCTACGAACGGAGCAAAGGGCCTCGCTACGAACGAAGCAAAAGGCATTTTTCACACCTTACTTTCAGCAAAAGGTTTGTTTGAAGCGCCCGCCCCAAAGCATTCCTGTTGCACTCTTCGACCTTGCGGGTGAGCCCCAAGGCTAGAGGCCCAGGCAGATGTCCTTTGTCGAGACCGTGCAGGGGAGCTGCTTGGTGATGGGCTGGGTGGTGTGTGTATGATGGTGGTGGTGGTGGTTGTTTGACCAAAGGGAAAAGAAACCCACTCTTCACCCACAGGATGGAGGTTTTGGCGCTTTGGGGTGGTCTGGAGGCTGAACGGCTGAACGGCCTGGAACCGTACCTGTGAACGGACGGTTTGGGGCCGGGACTGATTGTTGCGCAAGTCGTGGATCCAATGTATTGGGTCCAGCTTTGGCTATCCTAGTGTAGATATCTTGATCCAAAGTCCTTGTTTCTTTGACCACTTTCATACCGTCCCCCCCTACATCCTCAAAGCCACAGAGAAGGCTAGTGGTTCATGGGGAGTGCATGGATCTCACGCAAGTCGTGAGTCCAATGGTGTTGGGAGAGCAACACCAAGCTCAAACCTATGTATATGGTTACTATCATCAGTACAGTCCCATGTCCTGGTGCCAGTAGGGTTGCCAGCAATAGTCTCAGAATTGAATCACCGGACTAGGGGATCTCCATTTCGCAGATGAATGAAGAGATGAAAGAGATTCCCCCCCGAAGCCCCAAAACCACATGTTCGGGTCATAATAGTGTGATAACCACAAGTGGTGGTGGCACACTGTGGGCTCATGACACCCTGAGTCGAATCGGGTTTTCACTTTGCAGATGAGCCTGATGGAACGTTTGCCACCCTTTCCTGATGGCTGAAACCCTCAGGAATGTCTTCCACATCGCCATCAATGGACAGCACCTAGAGATGTGCGAACTTCTCTTCGAACGTCACTTGGAGATGAGGTTATACACACTCACTGGGCATGCGTCAAGGCAACGACACACCACCACGCTCAGGGTCAGCCTGCAGTGAGAGAAGCCCCCCAAAGAAGCAGCTGCCAGCTGGCCTGCTCCTCCTCTCCTGTGGCTGCTCTGCTACTCTATCCCACACAATGGCAAGTCCTTTCATCTTTGCAGTGGGGCCATAATGAGCTGGGGTTGAACACATGTTTCAAAACAAGATGGAGCCCACGAACCCGAATGCAAACACGTTCAAAAAGCTACATATGTCCAAATGACACTCTTGTAGGACACTCTTGTGTGTAGGACACTCTTGTGGGACACTCTTGTGGGGCACTGTTGTAGGAAGCTCTTGTAGGACACTCTTGTGGGACACTCTTGTAGGGCACTCTTGTGGGACACTCTTGTGGGACACTCTTGTGGGACACTCTTGTGGGACACTCTTGGAGGAAACTCTTGTGGGACACTCTTGTGGGACACTCCTGTAGGACACTCTTGTGGGATACTCTTGTGGGACACTCTTATGGGACACACTCTTGTGGGACACTGTTGCGGGACACTCTTGTGGGACACTGTTGCGGGACACTCTTGTGGGACACTCCTGTAGGACACTCTTGTGGGACACTCTTGTGGGACACTCTTGTGGGACACTCTTGTGGGACACTCTTGTGGGACACTCTTGT